AAAGCGACGGTCGCCCGGTCAGTGTATGCTGCTGCTGCAGGTGCAGGTGAAGCTGCATGCTGGTGCAATGATCCAACTTTAGGACTGGCAGAGATCGCCCATGGCCCAATGCTGCACACACACCATCTTAAATCGATTCATTCGATCGAATAAATTACCTGATCGATCACCGACATATGCAATTCACCGCACTTATACATATTCATATACATATATTCATACACTTGTACCCCCGCACAAATTTACAACTCGTTTCAATGCTCTCGACATCATTTCGAGTTCTTAGCTTCAATTCTCAAATAATTATGACAAATTAACTTCTTGCCGTCTACTTAATTTATCGTCCATTGCATTTAAATTTATCATTAAATTACTTATTAAGTTTATCAGGATTCAATCTGTTTTACTGGTGTCCGATTAGCAGGTCATTTTGCAGCAAACTTCTCACAGCGAGATTAAACTGTGAGAACAGTTTTTTTTTTTTAATCCAAAAATAAGTAGCTGCAACCAAAAAAACTTTTTTAAATTAAACATATAGTTTATGATTGAATTAAACGTAGGTAATTTTTATTGAATCAAACTTATTATGTACTGAATCAAATTTTTTATATGTTTAATTCAAAAATAATTTTTGTTTGACTCTATAACAAAGCTAATTATGTTTGAGTCAAATATATTGTTTTCTCCGTGTATATCGTGCATGTTTTCCAAACTTGCTGCAAGATTGCTGCTAATATTGCAACAAAATACAACTTCTTCTGGATAAAATAATTTCTATATTTTAAAAAACTTTTTAATTTTTGGAAATTTGGTGAAATTTTATTAAAAATCATTGATTTTTTTAAAGTATTTCATTAAAACTTTTGAGAATTAAATTTAGAAGAATATTTTAATAATTGAAAATATTGAAAATAATTTAATTCTCAAAAATTTTTGATTTTAATTAAAATTATTTAAATTATTGAAATCTGGTGAAATTTTATTAAAAACCATTGATTTTTTAAAAGTATTTCATTAAAACTTTGGAGAATTAAACTTCAAAGAATTTAATTAATTGGAAATTTTCAAAATAATTGAATTATCGAAAATGTTTGATGAAAAATAGCTTGAAAATTATTTAAATTCTGTTGAAATTTGGTGAAATTTTATTAAAAACCATTGATTTTTTAAAAGTATTTTATTAAAACTTTTGAGAATTCAATTTCAAAGAATTTCATTAATTGAAAATATTAAAATTAATGGAAAAAAAAATAATTAAAAATAATTGAATTCTCAAAAATTTTTCAATGAAAAATATATAGCTTCAAAATTATTTTCAATAATTTCCAGTAATTTTCAATTACACATTGTCAAAAATTAAAATATATTTACTCCAAATAATTGCATTAAAATTTTGGAGGAAACAATCGTTTTCAAAATTTTGAAAACTAATCAATTCAAATTAATTTTTTTTTAATTTTCCTAAAAACTTTATTTTATTAAATTTTCGAAATATATATTATATAATTTAAAAAGTTTTTTAACATTTGAAATTTCGGAAACTTTTATTGTAAATAATTAGTTTTTTTAAAAGTGTATCATTCAAATTTTTAAAAATCAAATCTCTAAAAATTTTTAAGTGATAAGTTTGAAAATAATTGAACTCTCTAGAATTTTAATAAAAAATCTTCAAATGAAAATTTGAAAATGAAAATTAATATAGAGGAAAAGATTCAAAAAATTATACAGAAATTTTTTTAAAAAAGAAATTCATAGAATTTTTTATTGAAATGTTTTAAATTTTAAGTATTTTTAACATTTTCAATTACATATTTCCAAAAGTTCAAACATACAAAAAAAATAACATTCAATTTTTTATAAACATCTAATTTTTTTAAATTACTATAAAAATTTTCAAAATTTTTTATAATAATTGTTAAAAAAATATTGCTTATAGTTTTTCAAATTAACCAAAACTTTTTTTCAAGAAATTTAAGTTATAATTTTAACAAAATTCTACTTTTTTGTACCTAATTATAAATTTAAAAAAAAATTGTCTATTTTTACAGTCCTAATTAAAATTTTTCGAAAAATTGATTTTTTAAAAATTATTTTCCAAAAGTTCTTGTTGAAAAATTCAATTATTTTCAAAAAATTTGACTAAATTTCAATTATTTATAATTTTGTTGTGGAATTAAGAATCTATTTACTTTCAAAAATTTGTTTAAAAATCAATTTTAAGAATATTTATTTAATTTTTTAAAAATCAATTTTTTTCAAGGTTTCTGCATTATTTTCCATAATTAAGATGAATAACTTTAAAAAACAACTATAAAGAGTTACAATTACAACTATTATAAAAAAAAATTGAATTTTTCTATTTAAATAATTGCATTCTCGACGAATTGTCAGAAAATAATTAAAAATAATTTAATTAGAGAAGAAGTATATTGAAAAATTCTATAAAATAATTAAATTTGGATAGGGTTTTAATTATTTTGAAATTTTTTAATTCTTTATAGTTAGAAAAATCTATTATTTTTAAAAATTATTTATAAATATTTAAAAAAAAACGAATCTTAGGAATTTTTATTATTATAATTTTTAAAAAATCTAGTATTTTCCATAGTTTTTGTTACACATTTTAAATTCAACTAAAGAATTTTTTTTGAAATAATCATGAAGAGTTAATTATACATTTATTATAAAAAATTGAATTTTTCTATTTAAATAATTGAATTTTCAAAAAAAATTCGGCAAATTCTTAAAAATAATTGATTTTCAGAGGAAGTGTTGTTAAAAATTGTGTAGAAAATAATTAAATTTTGGAGGGGTCACAGTTGTAGTTTTCAAAAATAATTAAATTTCATAAGATTTAAGATTGAAATTTAAAAAAATGTAATTCATATGAAAATAGATAAGAAGTATATTTAAATATTTATGTACAAAAATTATTGAATTTGTATTTATAATTTTGAAATCAGTGAAAAGAAAAGAAAGCTTTTGTCACAACATAATACGATTTGGTTCGACATTTTTTTGATCATTAATGGTCCTAAAACGATTTTTTCATTCCTTAAAGTCTCAAAGTCGAGCCAAGATCTGAACTTAGTAAAATTTACTTGAAACGCAGCAAAACTTCCCGACAGTTTAGCTTTTATTAACTTTTTCCTCTTTTTAAATATAACTATGTACACGGAGAAAAGTATAGACTAACTTTTAGTATATTTACAATCGTTTAAAGAGAGGAGAAACAGTCTTTAAATTTTTGTCGATGTTGCGAGAAAAAAGTTAACGAGACACTAAAACAACTATTTGTATAAATAGTATAACAGAGAGTAATAATATAATTTTAAAGTGTCGCGCGACGAGAAGAAATATATAATGATGAGCCTCGGGATGGTATACTTAAACTATAAAGATTGAATGGAGAGAAAAAGTTGAAGCGAGAGAGCTCCTAGCATCTTGATGGTTTGAAGAATAAGACCAAATGACTGGACTAAAGCGGATTAAACAACTGCTTTGCTGAAAAAAATACATATATATATATATATATCGAAAGAGAACTCTTTTTGTGGGAATCCTTTTGGCTTTGTTGAGAGAGAGCAGTGGCTCTTTGTAAAAAGAAGGTATATAGCATGAGAGGAATAATAAAGGAAGGAAGGAAGTTTAAAAAAAAAGAAGAAAAAGAAAGAAGCTTCGATTCGACAGCAGAAAACAGCAGCTGCAACACCCGATACATATCGTCAGTGGTGGTGGGGCCATGCTCGGCAGGGTCACGAGAGATTATTATCGTTATATCGACATTCGTGATACTTCGGACAAGTTCGGCTGCGTTCGGTCGCGTGGCACGCGTGCCCTTATCCCCACTCTCAACACTGGCCCAAGAGGGTCCACTACTACCACCATCACCACTACTACCATCACCATCATCATCATTACCATCATCATCATCATCATCATCTTCTTCTTCTTCCTCCGCAGCAAAGACTTGGTCCTTTAGGGCACTCTTGATTTTTTACTCCCTCATATCTGAGAAAAGGTTTTTAAAGCCACGATTGTCTGGAGAGATCTCGAATTGAATATAGATGAGAAGGAGAGGAGAGGAGAGAGAGAGAGAGGATGATGAGAAAAAGGAAGCGCCGGAACTCGATGGTCGAGATCAAAGGCCGAGATGGTGTGCGCGAATTTTGTAATAATCGCCCCGAGAGACTCTTTTGATATAAGCTGCTGTAAATTCCAGTACGTATTCGTAGTCACGATTTGCTGACGAATGTAATTATTACTTTTTATTATTTTCCCTCAGACTTTAAGTCGCTACATAGATTACCACGCACGTGTTCTGTGTGCCTTATAGTTCCGGAGAACAGTTTAGTTACTAAGTGTTTTTTTTATGTATAGTATGCGATGGGAATTTGAAACATACGTTCCTCTATTATGTGCAATATTGAGTCTTGCTATGATTTCTGAATTTTCTTCTCTTTTCATTTCATAGTCATTTGTCATTTTATTCCAAACGAAAAATCGCTACTGTTCTGTGTATGTAGAATTCCGATATTTTTATGGATTACACTACCGTGCTGGATGTCCCAGTTACCGTCCACTTTTATTTAAACAAGAATAATTATTAAAAAATTATTTCCTTAAATCTATTTAGGCGAACTAGTAATAATTATACTCCAAAACAATATTAATATTAAACTATTTGCAAAAATTAATTTAAATAAAAGAAATTGTAAAAATGTACGGAAACTGGGACGTATGGACGGAAACTAGGGCATTCATGGTATATCTTTATTTTTCTTGCGCATTTTTATACTTTTGATGATCAAATAGTATATTCGAAATATGAATTTAAAAATAAAAATTTGTTATGAAAAAAAGATATTTTGTAGAATATTGTTTTTCGATTAGTTTGAAAGTTGCTGCTCTCGCTTCGCTCAAGCATCCACTTACAAACTAGAAAAACAATTCTTGAAAAAATTCGGAAATTTATTAAAACATTTTTCAATTTTTTACAGTGATTACCAAGTGAGGTACGTGGCTCAGTGGCAACTCTATACTGATGGACTCAAAAGAGCATCAAGTACCGTGGTTCGATTCTTCCCAACTGTGGATATTTTTCTTTGCGAAATTTCTTCAACTTCGGTGCGTTATCTGTGCGCTTCGTTGTGGAGAATGTGAGTAAAAATGCTTTCAATATAATTGAAAGAATATAATAATTTTTAAAAATTAAAACAACTGGAAAAAATGAAATTTCTAGAATTCATAAGAAAATGATGAATTTTGGTGTCTTTTTTGTTTGCCTCATAAACTATAAAGTCACCACACGAATTCCTAATACAAAACCTTCATTTTTTTTCTATTTCTGACAAGAATTAATTTTTTAATATTATTTAATTATTTCAAAAGTTTTAATGCAATTATTTTCATAAATAACGAAATTCTTCACTGAAATTCAATTATTTTTAGAAATTTGAATAAAATTCTTTGCAAAATTAAATTATTTTCATAAATATAACAATATATTCATCACAAGAATTCAATTATTTTTAAAAAATTTAACGAATATCTCGTCAAGAATTTAATTATTATAAATAACAAAATGTTTCACCTAAAATTCAATTATTTTCAAAAGTTTTTGGCATTTCAATGGTTTTCAATATTTACTATTTTCATAAAATTCATCACAAAATTCAATTATTGAAAAAAGTAATTTTATAAAATTCTACGAAAACATTGAATTATTTTCATAAATAATAAAATTTCTTTTAGGAATTCAATTATTTTCATCGCAGAATTTCAAATATTTTTAATACAATTTTAAATAAATTCCTCGAAAAATTCAATTATTCTTAAAAATTTCATTGAAACTCGACGAAAGAATTCAATTTTAAGAAACATTCAAATATTCAATAAAATAATAATATTCGTTGGAATAATTCAATTATTTCCATAAATAACTCTAACACAGTCGCAGAAATTCAATTATTTTCAAAAATAATAAAATTCGTTGCAAAAATTTAATTATTTTCAAAAAATTTAAAAAATTCGCAACAAAATTTAATTATTATTAAAAATTTTTTATAAAATTCTTCGAAAGTTTTTAATTATTTGCAAAAAATTTTCATAAAATTCCTTAATTCAATAACTTTTTGTAAAATTTAAACTAAATTCCTTAAAAAAAATTAATTATTTTCAAATGCTGTTAATAAAATTCTTCATAAAAATTCAATTTTAAGAAACATTCAATTATTCAAATAATTATTCAATTTTTTATTTTAATAATTGAATTCTCGCAAATGTTCTAATAAGAATTGATTTAAAAATTTAAAATTGAATTTCAGTTAAAATTTTATATTACAATTGAATTTTAAAAAGGTTTCAAATTAAAATTTTTGAAAATCTAAATTTTTCATACTTTTAACTAACAATTCTGTAGAATTAATTTTTTTCCAAAAGTTTGTTGATTTTTTTAAAATTATTGAAAGTTTTTATTTTCTAATATTTATTTAATCGAAGAATTTACGAATAATTGAAATTTCGTAAAATTCAGTATTGTAAACAAATGGATTTGAAAATTGTCAAAGAACTTTTTCGAAAATTATTAAAAATAATGGATTTAAAGAAGAATTTTAGTTAAAAATTCTTGTAAATAATAATTGAATTGTAAATGATTTTATCACCTTTTCAAAATTCAATTATTTCTAAAAATTTACGCTCTAATGCTTTTAATATTCAATTATAATCTGAAATTTTTACTGAAATTCATATTTAAATCAATGTTTATGAGAAAATTCTAATAAAATTCAACTATTTAAATACAAAAATAACAATTTATTGAATAATTGCATGTGTCTTAAAATTGAATTCTCATAAAGAATTTTATCTGTAAATTTTTAAATAATTGAATTATTTCGACGAATTTTAATCAAAATCTTTAAGAATTTTTTCAAAGAATTCAATTAAAATAATTGTATTAAAAATAATTGAAATTTTGCAATGAGTTTTATTATTTTTGAAAATAATTGAATTCCTAAAAAGAATTTTATTATTTACGAAAATAATTGAATCCTCGTAAAAAATTTACTATTTATGAAAATAATTGAATAATTGCGAAGAAATTTATAAAAAATTTGCAAATAATTGAATTGCTGTGAAATTTTTAGTATTATTTATGAAAATAATTAAATGTTTGTTTAGAATTTTATTAAAATTTTTTTTATATAATTGAATTATTTTGGAAAATTATATTAAAAATCATTTAATTGAGAAAAATTTTTGCAAATAATTGAAATTTTGTTAAGAATTATTATAATTGTTTTGAAAATATTTAAAATTTCGTTAAGAATTATTTTATTTTTTTTTGAAAAAAAATCATTGAATTTCGTAGAAGGATTTTATTATTTATAAAGATATAATTGAAAAATTTTGAAGACAATTTAAAAACATTTTTTTTAGATAATTCTATTATGAGAATTAAATTATTTAAGTACAAAAGTAAATAATTTATTGAATAATTGAATGTTTCTTAAAATTGAATTCTTTTGACGAATTTAAATAAATTTTTTAAGAATAATTACACTTTTCTAGGAATTTGATTAAAATTGTATTTAAGAAAATTTAATTCTGAAATAAATATTATTATTTATGAAAATAATTGAATTCCTGTACAAAATTTTATTATTTATAAAAATAATTGAATGATTGTGAAAAAATTTGCAAAAAATGAAATTGTTGTGAAATTTTTATTATTTTTTGAAAATAATTACATATTAGAATTAGAAATTTTGAAAATCTTAGTTTCCATGGAAAAATACTAATGATTAAATATTTATTTTATTTAGTGAATCATAATAATCTGGAGGGACAGGAAAACGTGAAAATGTTGTCTGGAAATTAGGGAAAACTCAGGGAAAAACAAAAATAAATTTTTGTGGCAACCCTGGTGTGAAGAATATAACAGTTCGGATTGCAAAAGACTCGATGATAATATTCTTGCAACGAAAAAACACTTTTTATATTATACAGCAGCAAGCAATTTATTTGTACTTTGGCCATATTAATCTATAATCCCCCATGCTGCGAGCCATAATAATAATCAGAGTTATATACGCGAAATATATCGGGAGGGTGAGTCTCGAGATTGATGGAAAGGGTTTCGCAACTTAATACAGATATTTAAGCTTATGTATCATAGGTTTTGCGAAGTGTATGCTTGTACCATTACCTTGGAAGTGCTTGGAAGATATGAAGCCGGCCAAGCATAAAATAGTGTGGGGTAGAGGGCCGGAAGTGGTTCCATCTGGCTCTCCCCCATCGGTGACCTGTTGAACCACCTCGTGACCGGAAGTATATACGGGCCTCTCCAAGAGGCCCCTCTTCTCTTTACACTGGTTCTCTTGATGGTTCCGACGAAAACATAACAAAGGCTTCTCTTTCAGAGTAGCAACTTATCATCTTGTGTTTACCTGATTACATACGTGAAGCATTTTTTAAATCTTTTCCATTGCTGTACGCATATATCTATATACAAAATCCGGTTTTATGTTCAAAATATTTTCTTTCTACAACTCTGAAATTTACTCTCTGTAAAGTAATTGAAAATCGTTTTTTGTATCTTAAATTTCAGTTTAGTGATTCTTCAGTACTTTTTTTTGTACATTTTGGGATAAAATCCAAATTTTTTGTGCTAAAAATTTGGATCCATTTTTACTTTGATCCACATATTCAGGCTTCTCACTCATCTACTAAAACCTACTATTTACTACTTTTTTTTATGCTACTATTTAGGTACTTTTTTTTAGATTTCATCCACTAAAAGCTACTATTTCTGTTCTTTTTTAAGAATTTCCACTACTTTCAATTCGCTAATACTAGAAATCAAAAAACTATTCACCAAAAATTATAATCAAATTCTTTAAAACGATTCAATTATTTTCAAAAAATATTCGAAAATCAATTATTTTCAATATCTAGTATTTTCAGAAAATTTCGCAAAAGAATTCAATTATTTAAAAAAAAATCTATAAAATTGATCCGAAATTCAATTATTTTCATAAACAATAAAATTTTCACATGAATTCAATTAATTTAGAATATAGCATTTAAACAAAAAAATGTCAAAAAAATCAATTATTTAACAAAATTTTTATACAATTTTTCACAATAATTCAATTACTTTTACTAATAAGAACTTATTTCATGGTAATTCAATTTAAAAAAAAAGTTTTGATAAAATTAAATAAATAAATAAATAAAAATAAATAAATAAATAAAAAAAAATTAAAAAAAATAAAATAAAATAAATAAATTTTTAGAAAGAAATCCAATTATATTCATAAATAATAAAACTCATCAAAGAATTTCAATCTCATTTTTAATAATATTTTAAATTAATTAATCGAAAAATTCAATTATTTCCACAAATAAAGTTTTCCATAAAAATTCAATTATTTAAAACAAAATTTTCATAATATTTATTATATTTCGAAAAAATCAATTATTTAAAACAATTTTTTTTTAAATTCTTTGGAAGAATTCAATTATTTACAACAATAATAGAATTTTTCACAAGAATTCAATTATTTTAAATACAATTTTAATTAATTTTTTTTTTAAATAATTCAATTATTCTTTTAGAGTTTAATAAAATTCTTTCTAAGAATTCATTTTATTTATTTACATAAATAATTCTTCCAAAGAATTCAATTATGTCGAAAAATAACAAAATCATTCCCGAAAATTCAATTTTTTTTAGGAATTTTAATAAATTCTTTACAAAATTCAATTATTTTTATAAATAACAATATTTATCACAAGAATTCAATTATTTTTAAAAGTAATAAATTTCTTTTTGTAAATTCAATTATTTTAAAAAATTCTAATAAAATCGTTCGCAAGAATTCAATATTATTGTCAAAAATTTTAATAGAATTCTTTGTAAAGTTTATTTATTTATAAAAACTTTTCGCAATTCAATGATTTTCAATATCTACTATTTTTCATAAAATTTCCAAACAGAATTCAATTATTTAAAAAATGTTTGTAAGAATCTTCGTAAGAATTTAATTTTGTTCATGGAATAATAAAAATTCTCACTGAAATTCAATTCTTTTTAAATACTTTAATACAATTTTTCGCAATAATTCAATTATTTTTATACATTATAAAATTCTCC